TGGCGCCTGAGCGCCCACTCAAAGATCAGAGATATGGAACTCGAAAACACAGTTCAGATGCAACTTTGTGTGTGTGTGTGTGTGTGTGTGTGTGTGTGTGTGTGTGTGTGTGTGTGTGTGTGTGTGTGTGTAGATAGAGTCCATGAGCGTGTGTGCAGTCAGACTCGTTTCATTCGTCAACTCGCATGCATACAACAGATGGCAAACAGAGTGGCGCCTGAGCGCCCACTCAAAGATCAGAGATATGGAACTCGAAAACACAGTTCAGATGCAACTTCCCTGGATGATTCTCCCCAGCTCCAGCACCGTTTTCAATTTTTTTTGGTTTTTGGCCGAATGACCTCAAATTTGGTTTGGGGGGTCCCCTGGTGATGCGCGGCACAGACCAATTTTTTTTATTTTTTTTTTCCCTCCCAATTTTGAAAAAATGAGTTGTCCGGGATCCCGGACAACTCCGCACAGGATGTCCGGCCAGGACAACCGGCAATCGGACAACTGGTAGCCTAGGAAAAAAGACAGGCACATCCCAGAATCTTTGTCGGCCTGCAAGAGTTGTTACGCGAGGCCCGGGTTCACTTTTATAACAAATATGAGATGAGGGGAGATGACATTGGTTCAACGTGTGTTATTCTTCTTCCAATCTTGTCCTATTTGGCATTATCTCTTCGTTAGCTTTTGCATTTGAAGTTGACCAAGGATCATAGCACTTCTACGGTCATTATTGATGGCGAAGGTAATGAGGGAGAAGCGTGGAGTGGAGATGAGGGAGAGGAGACTTCGCTTTCAGCTTGTGTTTGTCATCTTCTTCTTGCTCCATCCTCTGTTCTTCCGCTTACCTTGTTTTATTCTCTGCCCAGTCTCTTATTTCAAGTTGCAACTAAGTGGCATTGTCTCATTGTGGATTTTTCCAGTTAAATCTTGCTGGAATCATGTCTTATTGTTGTATTTGTCCAAAATAACACCAGACTCCTGCTCTGTGACTCAGGACTTGAGTCAGATACCCATCCTCGTTTCCAAACACGCAGATCAGCACACAGAGAAGTCAAATACATCAGATAACACAAATATAAATAAATTGAAATAATGCATGAAACTCAGTGATTTCATCAACATCACAGACTATGTCAGACAAAATCTATGAACACACACTTCTCGAACTGCGAATGTCGTTGGGGCCAATTGCAGCAGGCAGTTTGTGAACCACATCTTGTGCATCCATGCAAGTTTGCTAGTGCTTTGGTGTTGGAGCTTGACTGGGATCAATCCTTATTGGGCAAGTTAATTGGCTTTCGCAAGATTGGTGTCCCCTTGTCAAAGTGGGATGCGAAACGTACTGTGCGTTGTTGGTCTACTTGCGACGACTATGCCATGACTTTGTTCCCGGATGCATGACAACGAAAAGTTCCCCATATCCTGGCCGCTGCAAATTTTTGCTCAATGTGTTGCTGATAGCTTGCTTGCGCATGCCTCATTTCAGGTGGAGAAGCAAGGTGCTCATTTTTATGATGTTGCTGTCACTCCAGAGCAGGCAAAGGGAGGCATTGCTGTCCGTGTGGTCTCATCCACAGCCAGTAAGTTTAAGGTCAGCAACCCAGCATCCTTTTCTTGCAGTCGATATGTGGAAAGTCTATCATCCAGACAGGCATGTGGGCTGGGAGAATAACATTGTATGGATGCCTCTGCAATCAGACTCATTCTCAAACACACTTTTCATGCATGTAAACAGCAACGCAGCATACTGGCGACATGCGCCCACTCAAAATTCAGAGATATGGCTTTAAGATACGAGTTCACTCTCAATTRGCTATGGCGACTTCAGCGCCCACACAACTCGCTGTTACACACACTGGATCACCCTGGATATCCCACACGCATCACTCTAACACTCGAACACACACACACACTCGCTACTACTACAGCTATGGCAGCTAGCACTGCATCTACCCTATCGCTATGCTAACTCCCTCTCTCTTGCCCACTGCGTCCTCCGGGCTCATCTGCAGACCTTGCACAAGTCGCTGTAGCAGCGCTTCCGCATGGCTCACGCAGGAATGAATGGATGGCTGGGCGCTGCCCCTTGATTTATACTTCAGAAACTCGTTGGTCTGCCCTTTGCCATTGGCCCTTGGTGCTTACAGTCCCCCTGTGGTACTTGCTGGACCGGACTGGGACTGACTGGACCTTCCGTTGACTGACTGTGGACTCACCGCTATCCTACCGACGTTGCACTGCTGTTGCACTGCGGTTTAGTCCACCACTTGCCTCACCACTTGACCACTTGCCCACTTGCCTACCTTCTAGAAGGTCTACAGCTAAGCTTCCGGAACTCRCTAAGACTCCTACGCKAYAGAYCTACAGATCGAWCCCCTGCKGCCTATGGACCCACRRCAAGCCTACCAACTGCCTACGAATACACAGGTCACAGGTTCAATTCCCGGGGTCTACACAGATACTGTACATGGGTAAGGTGAGGTCTAGGGATCGAACCCTGGGTACTGCATCCGCTACTGCTAAAAGGTGAAAACCGTTTCACCTTATTTATATTGATGTCAAGTACTTCTTGTCCACAATTTTGAGTTTTCAATTGCTGTCACTGTCTGAGATTCCTGCAGTTTTTAAGAGAATGCTGGTCTCGTGGTCTGTTTTTTGAGAGTTCCAAGTTTGCGGCTGTTCTTCTGTGGTTGTTGTGATTTCTAAGTGTGTTGTGTTACCTCTACTATAAATATGAAATGATAATACAAACAGTAGTAATAAAAATAAACCAATAAAGTTTATTTCATGCTATTGAGAAGATCAATGCTTTATTGAAGTTTGTTCATACAGGACCCCGAAGAAAAGGAATAATCGTAGATAATATAATGCAGTAAGCCCAAACCACAGAGGCAACGGGGATTCCACTTCCCCTAGGGGTACCCATGATATTTCTCATTAGATATCTATTGCATGGGATTTGGATCAACTCTCTAGAATATGTGAGGGTTCGATCCCTCGGCATAACCACATAAGGTTCTGCATCAGGCACGTGCCTGCCTCAAGTGAAGGCGGGCCTCTGAACTCGTCAATTTTTGCAAATCTTGGTCGGCGCCGGACAGTTGCCACGCGCCAGTTGGTTACATCCGCCCAGCACGTGAGAATGGGAATGATTCGCGAGCCTTCCAGGCCATTCTCAACGTGTCCAAAGCAGGGGACATCGCACGTTCGTGTGTGGGTGGTTGGGCAAGCCTAACCAATTCGGTCCCAGGCCACTGTGCAATGACTTGCTGATTTCAACTGCCGAGACTAACTGCGAGGCTGTACAGTACCCCAGTAGGTTAGGTTTGTAATTTTGTTTGGCTGAGGGCTAACCGAGAGACCTACCTGTAAGGATAATTCGTGAGGGACATATCTGCAAATATGGGAAAATAGGCCCAGCAGTACTTCGAATTTCCTACAGCTACCGTCACTGCCTGTAGCAGGCCCGGGCTACCCCTAGGACAGACGGGCCCTAAGCTGATAGACGGTCCTATAGCCTATAGCCGGGTCCGGCAGAGGCCGAGAGGCCGAAACAGCAACGGTACTGGTCGGTCAGTCAGTCCGGTTTATCCTGAGTAGTGGTAGTCTATTAATAGTTTGGGGGAATCGAGTTGAGACTTTTGGCCGTTCATTCTCACGAAGCAGGGTTTGGAGAAGCCAAGCAAGTTGGTGGCGGTGATAGTCTGCAGGCGGCATCTTGAGACCTCGCCGATGACAGCAGCCATAGCCGGCTCATCCTGAGTCTGCCATAGCTGGACCATCTTCAGCGCATCTACCCCTGGGGGTATCTGCGTGTGGCCGGGCTATATCGAGGCTCTACACTGTGTAATCGTGGGTGGTGGCAGCCATAGCTGCCTGGTTCTTCATCAGAGTTGTCCATCGACACTGAAGGCTTCATTGCAAGATTTGTTCTATATCAGGGTGGTTGGCGCTGGCCTCTGGGAGGCTGTTCTGATGTGGTGCTACTAACTGGGTATAGGATAGAGAGTGGGTTGTGAGTTCTGAGGGTGGCGAGATTCTGGAACAAACTCTGTTACGATAATTGGTTGAGTGGCTCATCATCAGTGTGAATTTCAATTGTGATCCTCACAGGTTCTTTCTTGTGATTGGTTGTTGGGAGTTTTGTCAGAGAGTGAGAAACACTGGGTGTCTTCTCCCCATCTGTGCATGATTGCCTTCCGCTGCCTATTTTTTCTGTGTGCCGTTTGGACTCTGTCTCCTCTCCCCCCTTCTCTTATGCATGTATGGGCGTGTATGAGACTGTCTGTGTGTGAGTGGCGACAAAATTCGTCAGACAACCAAGTTCATAACAGTTGGTATCGAAGCGGGACTGGAATTGGAACACTGAGGGTTGAGCGCACTGAGGTATCTTCTTCATTTGGCGACATACTGGCGAGAGTTTCATGCCAATCCATCTTCCCCAGTACTGAGTCAGCAGGGAAGAAGACATCCAGCGGTGGATTCAGGAGTTCAGTGCAAGTACTGAGCAAGCGCACTGAGCCTGTCAGGGCGCTTGTCAGGAAGTGGCGAGTACAGGGCTAATTTGCCATAGCCAACCCTGAGGGTAGTATTGTGGATTACCCCAGAGTGGCGAACTACCCCAGAAGACATCAAGGATTACTGAGCGGCATTATCCTTGGACAGTGCTGAAGGAGATTGATAATCAGTATCAATCTCCATAAGAAATAACCCCATCTGGGGCTATTTTTAGCATCAGCGGCTACGAGGCACTGTGGCGAGATATTTCGATGTTGGCTTTCTGGGCGCCACAGGGCCAGATGCAGTGAATCTGGCTTGAGGGATTGCAGCGCTGCAGGATCCTGAGGAGGATCAACAAGTTTAAGGAGGTTTTGTGCGTGGGATTGTCAGGGAAAATTTTTGGAAGAATGTGGCGAGATAAGGGTATACTCAGCCATAGCCAGATCTTCATCAAGTACTGCAAGATACTATGAAAGTGAGTCCGTTCCATGCACCTACCTGTATCGCGATTCAGAGAGGATTAGATTAGTCAGGGATTACGGTATTTCTGTCTGTCTGTGACTGGATGTGTAAATCGCAGACTGCATGACAGCCATAACCATCGCTCCCCTACCTTCCTCTGCTCATTTCTAACCCTCTGTCGACTCTTTCTGATCCAAAATTGTTCTATGACTGCTGCACTGCATTGCGATTGATCTGGGATGCTCAAATTGTGAATTTTGTACTGGAAAGGTAGTGATACTGTGAATTGCAGTTTTGCGTTGAGTCTATTTATAGCCTGTGCTTATTAGGGTCAGGCATGACTTCAATTCTGCCCGTCATAATTCAAATATGTCAGTCCCCAGTGAATCGCAAATTGAAAATAGGCAATACTGCAGAATCGCATGATTGGATTTACAGTATTTCATTGGATACAGTGAATACTGTACTTCGCCATACCCTAGGGTATGGCCGCCAGAGTCATCAGGGTCAAAATTGAAGTCTGAGCTAGGTTACAGGGTGTCTGTTTGAATCGCTTGGTTTGGTTGACCTCTCTTGTCTGTGCTAACCATATTCTATCATTCTCACTAATTACACTTGTTTTCTAGTGGGCTCTGGAAATTTAGTGTGTCGCTGGAAGAGTAGTGGAGTGACTCTACTAACTCCAGGGTGGTGCAGGGTCAGTAAAAGGAAATCGTGTGTATGATTTTTGGCGATTTTCTGTGCTCATCCGAACATGCACAAAAATCTGAAATTTTGAGAATCCATAGAAGAGGTCGTGTTCTTTCCAGAAATAATAATAGAACATTTACAAAAAATCATTTAGACTGTGAAATAATTGTCGCGCCGATTCAGCACATTTTCCATTTTTGTTACTCATCCATGCCTGGGCCAACTAGAAAAATACTCCAAATTCAGTGAGTTTTTGCGCTCAGAAGAATGCGTGAAAAAACCTGAAAATTGGAGTACTCGTAAATTTTGTTGTGATCTTTCCAGGACAAACGCTGCATAAATTTAAAAAAATCATTCCAACTGCGAAATAGATTGCGGCCGCAATTTGACCCATATTTCAATTTTGCCATTCAACCTCTCTCTCTCTCTCTCTCTCTCTCTCTCTCTCTCTCTCTCTCTCTCTCTCTCTCTCTC